AGACGGAGCTCTCTGCGGCGCTCGAGGAGCACGCGCTCACGGTGCTCATGGACGCCGGGAAGTTCTTCGAGACGATCGCCCCCGCGGCGCGGCTGGCGGAGGCGCGGGAGCTGGGCACGCCGCTGCGCCTCGCCTGGATGCTGTTGCAGCTCTATCGGCAGCAGAGGGGGGCCATGCGCGTTCGCTTCGATCTCGCACGCTGCGATCGCGCGGCAGGACTCCACGCGAGGGTCTCGCTCCGGCTCCACGGGCTGCTGCAGCACAGTCGCTGCCTCGGCGCGGTGCCAAGAGCGCTGCTCGGCGATGCCACCCTGCACATGGCGGCCTTCAGTGCGCCGGCCCTGGACAAGCTGTGGGCCGCGGCCCCCAGGTTCCGAGAGTCGGGAGCGGCCAAGAGGGGGGTGTCCAAGATAGGGGGGGCGCAAATCATGGCCGGCGGCATGTGCGCGGCCCAGCGGGGGGTCCGGGGACGTAATGAAATAAGAAGAGGCGCCATGAAATCTGGGGAAATATCCTGGCCGACGCCACGAAATCCCCCCCCCCTAGTCATCACCCCCCTCTTTGCCGCCCCCGAGAGAGGGCGCCCGCGAGCTCGGCAGCATCACCCAGAGGGAGAAGCCCGGCTATGCCACTTCGTCCGCGGCCGTCGCGCAGCGCTGCCGGCAGCAGGGCGGAGCGCGAGGCCTCCCAAGGGCAGGCACTGGGTCAGGAACCCGGGGCGCGACCTCTGCGGCCGTCGCAGGGCGCGGCGCCAGGCCGCCGAGAGGGCGAAAGGCACTGGCTGCGCGCAGGGGCAGGCGATCGCTCTTCAAAGAAGGCGGTGGGCGGGAGGGTCGCCTGCCGCTGGCAGGCGGGGCGCTCCTCCCCGGCGCCGCGCACGGAGCGGGAGCGCCAGGGGGCCGCTTGGGAACCCCCAAACCGGGTGGTGAGATACCAGGTGGCGACCTGGATCCCCAAAAGGGTCACCGCTGGGTTTGGGGACACGGGGTCACCACCGGGCTTTGTGACTCCTGGCCCCACCAGTGTTCGGGACATCCTCGGAAAACCGCACGAGTCCCCAAACCGGGTGGTGACGCCAAATCGCCCGAGACTCACCGCCAGGTGTTGTCACCACCACGTTTGGGGACTACCGAGCCGCCGACGCCACGCTCGGCAAGCTCCGGAGCGAGGCGGGCACGCCGGTGCTGGCCAGGCCCGGGCCCTCGAGCGCCGCGGTCTACTTCCTGGCGGCGCAGAAGGCCGAGGAGTTCGATGCCACCTACGCGGCGACCTGTGACCTGGTCTGCCGCTGCGCTACAGTCGGGGCGTTGACCTAAGGAACCCGAAATAAGGAACGAGGCCCCTTTTCCATAAGTTGAACTTCGATTTCCTGTCGAAAACAGAAGGAAAGCCTGAGGCAAGCTGTGAAACACTTAAGGAACGCGGAGCCCCTCCCCAACGAAAAGGGTTCCTTGTTCAGGGCCCCGACTGTACGCTAGTTGGTGGGGGGGCAGTTTACCTCGCTCGCGCGCCTGCACCATGGCTGGGCCGAGGCGACGGCCAGGCTGGTGGCCTCCCCCTGCCGGGCGCAGGCGTGCGGGCCCATGGCGTCCACGATCCTCGCGCCGTGGCGCACTGGCTGGTTCATGCACTCGACCACGGTGCTCGTCACTCGCCATCGCTCGGACGTCCATTCCCTGTGTTTTGTTTCGGTTCCGTGCGTGGTTTTTCTTCAAATGATCAAGGATGCTCCTCGATGGCCCTCGCCGAAGGAAAAATGCACACGTCCGAGCGATGCCAAGGTCACGGACGAGGAGAACCGCGTCAACCTCTTGACGGAGTCGCCCAAGGACGACAGGCTGCACCTGGCCAGGGGCATCGCGCGGTGGCAAGGGCGGCAGATCCTCCAGCACTGCCCGCGGTGCGACCAGCAGGCCAAGCTGTGGGCGAGGGCAACGAGGCTCTGCGTTGGCGGTCCCGAGGCCGCGGTCGCCGAGGGCCCAGGGGCCATGAGCCTGCGCGTCCGCTGGGCAGGGGTGCCTTGGACCAGGCAGGCGCAGTTCGACTCGAAGCTGGCCAACCTCGTCCGAATGCGCCGCATGCGGGGCGGAGTCGGACACCCCTGGGCACCGCTCCTTCGGCTGCGAGGCCCTCCTGGAGCCAGAGTTCCTGGGCGAGGAGAAGGGCGAAGTGCTCCCCGAGAGGCACCACGTGGCCTGGGCCCTCATGCGCGACCAGGGCCTCAAGATGGGCGGTGGGCCGCAGGCGTGGGACGAGTTCGCGCTGCCGACCTGCCCACCATGCATGCCACCGAGCGTGTCGCCTGCGGAGCGCGCCGCGAAGGTGTGCTACTGGGGCCGCTGGAGCGCCGGCCCTGGCACGACGCGCGAGGGCAAGTCGTCTCCACGGACGGCTTAGGCCTGGCCTCGTCGATGCCCGAGCTGCGGCGCTGCGGCTGCGCAGCGGTGCAGGCCTCGACGCAGGGCCTGCCAGTGCGCGCCGCGTGCGGGCCTCTGCCAGGCCCCCATCCAGACGGTGGGGCGCGCGGAGGGGCGCGCCCTGCTGCAGGCGCCGCTGCTCCTCTCGCCGCAGCTCGGCGGGCCCGCCGTCGACGTCGTCTTCGCGGACCTGCGGGGGCTCGCCGAGGAGGCGGCCTCCTGGGGCGCGGCGCTCGAGCAGGCTGGCGCGACGCACGCCGCGGTCTGGCGACGCCTGCACCGCGCAGCCTGCGCGGCCTGCGGCGCGCTGGGTCCCCGCGCACACCGAGCTCACGCGGTTCCAGGAGCGCGGGCGGCACCCTCTCCACTTCGTAGGGGGGCGTGTGGGCGGGCCTCCTCGCGAAGGAAGGGGCCAGGGCCCACGCTGTCTCGCAGGGCTGCGCGGACTGCTGCGGGGCCGAGAGCGCGTGCCACGAGCAGGTCGCGGCCGACACCGCGTGGGCCGTGCAGCGCAGGCTGAAGATCCCCGAGCTGGCAGGTGGCGGACGCGGCAGTGCGCCCCTGCAAGGACCCCCCGAGCGCGCCGCCCGCGGGGGTGGTGGTGCGGCGCCAGCTGGTCTTCCTGCGTGGCGGCAGGGTCGTGCTGTGTCGACGGTGCTGCAGATCCACGGCGGCCGCCCGAGGTCCGTCGCGGGCGCAGTGCCTGCGCGTTCCAAGCAGCGAGAGCGAGGCAGCGAAGCTCAGGGCGGACGCCATCATCGAGCACGTGGGGGGGCGACGTGGCTCCAGGTGCCAGAGGGCCCGTTCGCCATGGCGGCGCTGGACGCGCCCCAGGGGCTGCTGGACCCA